ATCTGCCAAATAATAGAATAGGTCTTAACACATTACATTTAAAAACCATTCATACTGACCTAATATTTGGGACATTTCCTCTTACTACCTTAACATACATCTGCTTTGCCTGTTAGACATAATCCTTCGGTATGGAGCTGTTTGCAATACCAGTATATTTGTAAAACAAAAGTGTATCAGCCCAGCTTTGAATGTGCTTAGAATGGAAAAGTATTCCAGCCGAAGCATATAAGAAACTATAATTCTGTTTTGGAGACTACAATCCATATTTCTGTCTCCTGCCACTTTCATACAACTAAAGTTCAATGGTCCTTAAAGGAAAGTTTCAGTATTTCCAGGTGCTTAACTGCTTGCCTGATTTTAATTGTATTAGTTTAAGGAGTATTTTGTATGAGATGGTATTGCTGCAGATCAGAGATATGCTAAACTGTACTTTGAATTCCCATAATCCTTCACCAGTTTGTTTAAAGTTTGTTGAGATTTAACACATTTATAGCCATCAGGATGGGGAAACCTGGGCTGTTCTGTATAGTAACAACTCACTGGAGCCTCAGGCAGGGTTCAGGGTTTTTTTTTTCCATAGGTTATAATGAACCTTGAAAGGGAAGATATGCCCTGGATTGAAACAGTCTGTAAGACAAGTCTATTTTGTGCTCTTCCTTCTCCTGCAAGAAGGTAGATTTCTTCCTGGCCTCTAAAATCCATCTGGAAAAAGGACCTAATGAAGCTGAACTGATCCCAGCGCAGGAAATCTCTCTTCAGCTGTAGGTTAACTTTGCTCTTCAACTTTCTTTCTGGTCTGGAGAAACTGAGTCGAGGCAGGGTTCCCTTCCCAATGGCTGTTACCCAGATGCTTCTTTCATCACTTTTCAATGATGGCTTTCCCTCCCCAATCCAGCACTTCCTGTTTTTCTCATTTCATTTCAGCTTATTACCTGAGGGAGAAAATAATGAGAATGCAGGCGTCAAAAGAGGAGTCAGTAACTTGTACTCTGGGGCTGATTGCCTCTGAGATTGAATCAGGCACATCTTATAGAATCATAAGGTCAGAAGGGACAGCACACTTCCAACATACTTAAGCAGTGGTCTACCAGTCATTATTGTTGAGCCAGGTATTGCCTATTCCATACCTATACATCTTGCTTTTCCTGCTTAAGTGCAGGATCTTCCTTTTCTCACCATTGAACTGCATCTTGTTGAGATTGTTTTGAGAGACTGGTCTTAAAATATAGACAGGATTGCCTCCCATCAAACCTTGACCCATACCAGTCTGCTTATTGGAATAACAGATCCACAGAGGATGCTATGGCCACGGCTCTCCACGTTGCACTGAAACATCTGGAGCATAGTGGGAGCTATGTAAGGATGCTTTCCATTGATTATAGCTCGGCTTTTAATACCATCATTCAGGATATACTGATTAAGAATTTGCTGGAAATGGGCCTCTCCTCTCACATCTGCTGTTGGATAAGGGACTTTCTTACTAACAGCCCCCAAACTGTTAGGATTGGCAGCTATTTTTCCTCCACTCTTGCTCTCAGCACTGGCTCTCCACAGGGCTGTGTGCTGAGCCCTCTTTTATATTCACTCTACACCTACAACTGCACTCCCTCTTGTCCCACTAACTCTATAATAAAATTTGTAAATGACACCACGTTGGTGGGACTCATATCAGCAGGAGACAAGATGGCCTATAGGTCAGAGGTTCTCAGACTGGTCTTGTGGTGCAAGAGGCATAACCTCATCCTGAACATCAAAAAGACCAAAGAATTGATTATAGACTTCAGAAGATGCAAAGCAGAGCCTCTCCCACTATATATCAATGGAGATTGTGTGGAAAGAGTTCATAGTTTTAAATTTATAGGAACTCATATTTTCGACAACCTTACTTGGTCAGTCCACACTATGGCCATTGCAAAGAAGGCCCAACAGCACCTGCACTTTCTGAGACTGCTGAAAAAGAATGGTCTAGGTGAGAAGTTGCTGGTTACTTTTTACCATCTACCATCGAGAGCATTTTGTCATACTGTGTAATGGTGTGGTATGCTGGATGCTCTGTAGTGGATAAGAAGATGCCCCAGAGAATAATAAACACAGCACAAAAATCATTGGTTGCTCTCTTTCTTCTTTGGAAGAGATTGCAGAGATCAGACTCCTCTCTAGAGCACTAAAAAATCTCCACAGACCATTCTCATCCTGGTCATTCATATTCCAAACTGTTACCATCAGGGAGATGTTATAGGTGTCTTCAAATGAGGACTGATAGACTGAGAAACAGTTTCTTTTCCAAGGCAATAATTGTCTTGAATCAAACAGTGCATTTGTGATTTAGTCCTATGTATATAGTGGCATTTTTAAACTATTTAACTTACTAAATGTTTTAGGTTTTAGACTAGGTGGTATTATTATTATTATTATTATTATTATTATTATTATTATTATTATTATTATTATTAAATACTCTGTAGTGTGATTGTGATCTGGTGTTTGGGGCACTGTGCTGGAGTAGCTTTCAAATTTCATTGTATTCGTGGAATGCAATGACAATAAAGGTATTCTCTATTCTAAAGCCATGTCTTCTTTTCAGGCCAGAAATTGCTTTGTTTGCCTGTTCCTCAGAATAGTTGTCACAGCAGCAACCAAATAACAAAAAGCACCACACTGGTGTGATATCAAGATGGAATTAATATTTGTTTAATAGGATTTCAGCCTCATCAGAATAGGTAAAGGTGAAAGTTGATTCGAAAAAGGGAGCAAGGTTTGCATGCTAATAAAGTATGGGTAATTCTCAATTTATGACCTTAGCGATTGGTCAAACTTACGACAGAGCCCCCTAAAAGATACTTACAATCCAGTTTCCAAATTCCAAAAGTTGCCTCTTCTGTAAAGTCATGTGACCACATTTTGGGTTCTCAACAATTGGCCAACATTTTAAAAGGTAAAAGTCTCCCCTGCTGGTTGCGTTTGATTTTAGGGGGTGGTGCTCATTTCCAATTCACAACCAAAGAGCCAGCATTGTCTGAAAATGTTTTTGTAGTCATTTGGCCAGCATGACTATATCCAAATGTGCACAGAAGGTTGTTACTTTCCCACCAAAGTAGTATGTATTTATACATTTGTGTGCTTTTGAACTGCTAGGTTGGCAGGAGCTGGAACAAGTAGATACAGATAATCAGAGTTGGAAGGGACCTTGTAGGTCATCTAGTCCAACCCCCCTCCCAAGTGGGAGACCCTACACCATTTCTGACAAATGGCAGTCCAATCTCTTCTTGAAAGTTTCAACTGATGGCGCTCCCACAACTTCCGAGGGCAAGCTGTTCCATTGGTTGATTGTTCTCACTGTCAGAAAGTTTCTCCTTATTTCCAGGTTAAATCTCTCCTTGTTCAGTTTCCATCCATTATTCCTTGTCTGGCCTTCAGGAGCTTTAGAAAATAGCTTGACCCCTTCCTCCCTGTGGCAGCCCCTCAAATATTGGAAGACCGCTATCATGTCTCTTCTGGTCCTTCTCTTTACTAGACTAGCCAAGCCCAGTTCCTGCAACCATTCGATGTATGTTTTAGTCTCCAGTCCCCTAATCATCCTGGTTGCTCTTCTCTGTACTTTTTCTAGAGCCTCAACATATTTTTAAATTGTGGTGACCAAAACTGGATGCAGTACTCTAGGTGTGGTCTTACTAAGGCTTTATAGAGTGGTATTAGTACTTCCCTTGATCTTGACTGTATACCTCTGTTAATACAATTTAGGATTGCATTAGCTTTTTTGGTGGCTGCTGCACACTGCTGGCTCATATTTAGCTGGTTGTCCACTAAGACTCCAAGGTCCCTCTCACAGTTATTGCTATTGAGCCTGATTTCACCCAGTCTATATTGTGTACTTTTGTTTTTTCTTGCCTAAGTGTAGGACTTTACTTTTCTCTGTATTGAATTTCATTTTATTAGATACAGCCCAAGGTTCTAGTCTGTCAAGATCCATCCGGATCTTGAGCCTATCTTCTTGGGTGTTAGCTATTCCTGCCAGCTTAGTATCATCTGCAAATTTGGTAAGTTCCCCTTCTATTCCCTCATCTATGTCGTTAATGAAGATATTGAAGAGTACTGGGCCTAAGACGGAACCTTGTGGCACCCCATTGCTTACTTCCCTCCATGTAGACTTAGACCCATTAAGGACTACTCGTTGAGTACGGTTTGCCAGCCAGTTGCGAGTCCACCTAGTGGTGGTGCTATCTATTCCACTTTTTTCTAGCTTACTAAGAAGTAGGTTGCGGTCTACTTTATTGAATGCCTTGCTGAAATCTAAATATGTCCACAGTATTTTGCTGGTCTAAATGGAAGTAATGGAAGCTCACTCCATTACATGGTACTTAGGTCTAATTCCAGCCTTCCAGTTGACGAGTCTAGCAATGGTTGAGTGGCTCACATTTACAAAATGATTTATGACATTTTTTGCCAAAACCCAATGTTTCTCACTGATTTTTGGCAAAAAAAAATGCCTGTAATGAAAAATGGATTCACTTAATGACTGTGATGTTCATTTTACAAGTGCCACAAAAAAAGTTCATAAAATCGGGTCAGTCACATGATGACCCAGTTACAACTGCCATGATTTACAGCCATAATTGTCAGGCTTATTATAGTCATAAGTTGAATACTATCTGTGTATGAAATTAAATTAAAACATGAAAACATAAAGGTAAGGTAAAATATTTACTGGATCTCTAGCACTTTATTCCACAAGAAGCAGAAAACTCAATAGCATATATAAAATGACTTGTTATAATGCAGAAATGAAAAAGCACTACCTAAACTGCTGAGGTGATCGAAATATAGTTTGCAGGAAAGGACTTAGGATGAACCTTTCTAAGAATGTTGTTATTTTATGTGCTGTAAGTGCTCAGCACAAGACAGTGGGCTATATTGTTTTCCCCAGCACATACCTTATTAAAGAGTCAGGAGAATAACATAACTTGTTTACAAAAAATGTTGCTTATCTTTTTAAAAAGGAACTTCCACTAACTCAACAGACTCAACATTTACCAAGAAATGGAGTTGGCTTTGAAAATCGCGAAGTCATCACAGGTAAATTTACCTCAGTTTCCCTCATAAAGTATTTATTCTTGCTTCAGGAACAGAAACTGGAATTAAAACAGCTATCTTGTTTTGTGCACTAGGAAATGAGGGTTTTTCTGCTGAGTTTGGAGAAAGACATCAGCCAAGTCAAACTGGTCTCTGCAGAAAAAACTACCCACAGCAGAGTGAGGAGGAAAAGGGTTACTCCAGTTTGTCACAAACTCACAACATGAAGCAGAGGAACACTAATGACATTGTGCAAGGTATTTGCTACATATTGTTAATTAATGCATTAATACTGTAGTTCTATATACCCATATATAGTGATAACTCCCTTAAATTGGACAATTGCTGAGTGTTATAGATTGGATTTCATTTTAAAAGCATACTTGGTTGTATTGCATCAATTGTTTTGTTACAGCTGTACCCAACAAAACTAACTTCAGAAACAACATGCTTAGGCATTTGCCCTCTATAGGCATCACAAGTCCTATTGAGAAATCCCTAATTTGTAAATATCCATTCTGATTATACAAACAGAACTCAAAAGAGTTCTCACTTTCCATATCCTACCATGCTCAGATGATTCCCAAATTCTCCATACATTCTATCCTTACAAATCACATTTATATGCCAACACATATATTGCCTTTGATTTAAAAAAAAACACCTTCTAATGTCTTTGTTTTGAAGATTAATTGCATCAGCTCCATCCAACCGTAATTATCCCAGTCTTCCCCTCCTCTTGTTCTATTCAAGTTGCTTTGCAATTTGATCTTCATTCATCATTTCTTATGAGGGAGTCTCTTCAACATACTTCTTTCCTTCTGGTTACCTTTTTGATCCATATTTATTCAGCACCCATTCATTCTTGATCCTACCTCTCCCTATTTTACCATACCCATTTCTTAAGTAATCCATTCCCACTTCATTCAACTTGTTTCTCCTGACATACCAATTCTCATTTCTCTATAACTGGGGTGTCAAACTCACAGTGTCACATTGCTATCATGTGATGTATTGCAATGTTTTTTCCCTTCTCAGAGCTGGGGTGGGCTGTCCGTGATGCATCCAGCTCATGGGTGGCTAGTTTGACACCCCTGCTCTATAACAAAGTGAGCAGAAGTGTTCTATTTTGGGGTGACAAACTTTCATTCCATGAAATTCCATGCTACCTACTAATGTTTTACTAGCATTTGTATATCTTAACATTTCTTCATCCATTTTCTCATCTTTAATAAACATTTTACCAATATATAAAAATTCATCTCATTCTACTTTTCACCACTGATGTGTAATTTGCAATCATTTATTCCACTTACTCTGTCAAACACAACTACAGCACATGGTGATTGATACATTAATTTTTCAGATCAGTAATTCTGGTTATATATACAGTCACTTGAAAACTTGTATTATCAGTGGATAGAACTGCATCAACAACATATACAGTAAAACATACCCTGACAAATGTAGCTATAATGTTTCCTAAAAAAAAAAAATCTTATATATTTACAGGTATCCCTCAGTACAACAAATAACCAAAGAGACATCATATATCTTTGAGTTGCTCCTGGCTCATTATGGAAATATTGAATAATTCATTAAGCATTTTATTTATTCTCACATGCTTTCTATCAAATACACCTCTTTCTGTATTCAGCAACCAACCGTCAACTTTGTATTTAAACAAACTATTTGATAATTCAAGCTTATTCACTGTCATATGAATCAAACACGCAATAAATAGTATTTCACATTCATGCATGTCTTAATGAGGTGCTGAAAAGTAAAACTCTGAATTGCTCATACACTATCTGACATCAAGCCATACAGCATTCATGACATTCATTCTCTTGTTATCTTTCAGGCAGAAATCTGTCAAACACATTCCTGGGTACACTTAATAAACTAATTTCTTTATAGTTTTGCATTCATTCTTGCTACCTTTCTCTTTATTTGGGAAAACAATAACCATATTCTTCCAATTATCAGGCACAGCTTCAGCTTTCACATAGCTATTACATTAATGCACAGTCATCCCATAGATAAATCACATCTTTATTTTAATATGTCTCCTGTTAAACTGCAACCATATCATTTTTCAACGTGCTCAGAGCATATATGACTTCACTTGCATATTTTTTTAAAGTAACATTTATAGCCTTAATTTCAATTTCACTCTTTGGAATATTATCAATCCCATATATAGATCTCTAAAGTATTCCTTGAAGCATTCCCTCACTTCCCTGTCATCCCAGATCATTTCCATGTCTTTTTTATTTCCACTAACTTTTTTGGAAGATTTTTTTTTATCCCTTTTCACTCCCCTTCCAAAATAATTTTTTCATTTCTTAACAGTTCTTTGCTTTCTTTGATTACATTCTTTGCAAGTGTCTTTTTCTCTGTGTACAATAGAAGTCACTCATCTATTTTTCCAGCAATTATTCTCTTATATGAGTCCAATCTCCCTTCATTCAGTTGGCATATTAAACACTCTCCCAATAATTTTTCATAAAATGATTGTACTTTTTCTGCCTGCAGCTTCTCTCTATTTTCTTTCCTTTTTACCAATATTCTTTTTGCCTAAATACCTACTCTTGACACCACTAGAAAAAAATGATCTATCTCATATTTAGGACCTTTCTTTAAACTTGTAACCTTCACTAATTCATTATAAATAATTAAACCATTTATTCCTCATAACCATTTAAATAAATAACAATTAAATCAAACATGTTCCATTTCTTTTCCATTTTCCATCAGTAGACTTATGCTTAAAAAACAAATTTGAAACAATTAACCTTTTCTAAGCAAATACGCACCAAACTATCTCAATTCTCCTTTGCTCTTGGAATTCTGAGTACGAATACATTTTCTATATACTCTGTCGCTTTCACTTTCCTTTATGTCTCCTAAAGGAAAAATGTTTAAATGGATCACATTCATTTAAAATGTTGCAGAATTTTTTTACTATACTCATCTGTTACCATCATTCACTGGGCTGTAACAAATGTAACATGCAATTATCATTAACCTGAAATGTGACTTTCATAACCCTTCACACAGTGTGGTTGATACTTGGTCACACTTTTTGATATACATTTGAGTCATTTCATTCATAATAAACATTCATTGAAGGCATTTCTTCAGCTCTGACTGGATGGTGGGGAATGGAAGGATTTATACTCCTTGCAGACAGCTAGTCTAGCATTCTTTTAGAGAGTCATTGAGGCCACTGGTAGATACTTTATCTGTGTCCTCAGAGTCACTTGACTAGTGCATATGTGTGTGGAGCCTTCTTGGCTGCAAGATCTTTTCTGCCCTGTGTCCCTTCACTGTTGACAACACAGACTCATCCCCAACAGCCTGAGCCTGTCTTCATCAGTGAAGGGACACAGGGATTCAGCCAAGAAGGCTCCACATACATTTGCACTACCCCTGTAAAAGTACCTTTGGGACAAACTTTAAAATAGTTTAAATAGTACTTTAAGCTATTTTATTTAGAAGGGGAAACTGATGTTGTTTATGTGCATATATATGTGTGTGTTGTGTATGCAAGTGTATGCTAATAATGAAGATGAGGTATCATTCTGTTAAAAAATAAGGCTGGGTAAAGACATGTGAAAATAAGGATTTCTTTTTAATGTGAATTGTTGTTTTGCTTCCTTGATGATTTTTCCCGTCATCCATATCATGTTTTAGGCAAGAATTTTGAAAATATGGGATGTGCTTTCTATACTGTGATTTCGCCTAGCATTATGGTCAGCAATACATTCTCAGATTCACACACAACCTTGTTGACCCAGAATTATACAAAAAACCCAGGTCTTCCATGTTTTTTTAAAGACTGGCAAGGTTGTTGGACTGTTCAAGTTGCTTAGGGCAGGAGTGTCAAACTCAAGACTATGGGCCACATCTGGCCCACAAAGTGTTAGATCTGGCCCACAGGGCCATCCTGGGAACAGTAAGGGCTGTGGTGCCTCTGCCAGTGAAAACAGAGCTCGGAAGGGCCGCATGCAGCTCTCCTGAGCTTTGTTTTCACTGGCAGAGGGTGGCAGGAGGCTGTCTCAGCCAGAAATGGAGCTCGGGAGCCTGTTTTCACTGGCAGAGTGCATGGCTCATCATTGGCACCCTGACACAAGTGACATCAAGCCCACCCTGGCCACACCCACTCCAGCCCCTTGTGGTCAAACACAACCCTGATGCAACCCTCAATGAAATGGCAGGAGCTGCAATTGACTCAATGTACCTTTTATGTGCTATCAGAAGATATTGCTTAATGGGCCAAATAGTTTCATGCTTTTTAGTTGCATATTACTCATACCCTATAAACAATTGTTTCTATAAGCAAGTGTTAATTGTCTATGTGTACATTCACCATACAGACATTGTTAGCTAAGCAATGTCATATGGTATATGTACAATGGTGCACTGAATATATTGTACTGCCATCATGTGTTAAATGGATTTTTATTTCCCTAGACTAGCCAAAGAAAATGCCATCAGTTGTACAACTCGTTTTCAGGCTGGAATTTAACACAAAATATCTCAGGATTCTTTCTAATTACCTATAATGTTTTGTTTTGTGTTTGTATAAAAATAAATCAGGAAAAAAGTTGAATTAAGAGCCTGAGCATATCCCCCTAGGAATTAACTCTAATCCCAATTTATTTGCAGTAAATTTAAGCAGCTTCTGCAAAGGAAGAACAGTCAAAATATAAACTTTGATGAATTCTGAGGAGTGTGAGTTATCTAGGGCACAGTTATTACAAAGCCAAACTGGTTTAAGCTGTGATAGAACAATGTAGAATATACAGGTGAAACCCGAAAAATTAGAATATCGTGCAAAAGTTCATTTATTTCAGTTATCCAACTTAAAAGGTGAAACTAATATATGAGATAGACTTATTACATGCAAAGCAAGATAGTTCAAGCCGTGATGTGTCATAATTGAGATGATTATGGCTTATAGCTCATGAAAACTCCAAATCCACAATCTTAGAAAATTAGAATATTGTGAAAAGGTTCAATATTCTAGGCTCAAAGTGTCCCACTCTAATCAGCTAATGAAGCCAGAACACCTGCAAAGGGTTCCTGAGCCTTTAAATGGTCTCTCAGTCTAGTTCAGTAGGAAGCACAATCATGGGAAAGACTGCTGACCTGACAGTTGTGCAGAAAACCCTCATTGACATCCTCCATAAGGAGGGAAAGCTTCAAAAGGTAATTGCAAAAGAAATTGGATGTTCCCAAAGTGCTGTAT